AAGGTATCTCATTACTCAACCTGGAAATTATACAGTCACTTCTATTGCACACATCATAACCAAAGTACACGTAGATTTTTTTAATTTTTGGTCTATTGGTTAAATTCAAAACTCTTATTCCTTCAGGGATCATTTTGAATCAAATATAATAAAATCTATGACATAAAAACAACCCCCAATTATCACTCATACATCAGTGCCTACTATATGTCAAATTATATACTAGGCTTTCAAAGTAAAGAGACTGAATAAGGCCTGCCCCTTCCCTTATAGAGCTCATGGTCTTATTCAGGAAAATCAAAGGTACAGAAACAATCCTAAGTGCTTAGAGCAATGCTAGGTGTTCTGAGAATAATGTGCCTTGAAATGCTCAGAACAATGCTAGTTACTCAGAAAAGCGGGCCCCATTAAAAGGTAGTATGGGCAATTATCCTCACTTCAGTTACCTATGCTGTGTAACAAACTATGCAGAACTTAGTGGTTTCAAACAATGTTATCTTGTCTCTTACGGTTGACTGGGCTCAGTTGGGTGGTTTCTCTTGGAGACTCACCATGTTTGCAGGCAGAAGTCAACCATGGGGACAATAGTTATCTGTAGGTTCAACTGCGCTTGCTGTCTCAATGATTTACTCAGATGCCAAATGATGTAGGATCTCGGCTTTAGCTGTTGGCTGGAGCACTTGGACATGGCCTTTCTGTGTGGCACAGGCTTTCCACAGAATGGCACCTAGATTCTTGAGGCAGTACCCTAAGAGTGACTGTTTCAAGGGATCAAAACCACAAGGTATCTCATGACTCAATTTGGAAGTTACAGTCATTTCTGTTGCACTCTACTTGTTCCAGAAGGCACACCCAGATTCAGGTCAGGGAGGAACTGTCCCAAGGCAGGAAATCCTGGGAGGCATGGCTCACTGAGGACCATCTTTGGAGACCTATCACAGGCACCAAATCATCTGGGTTTCTATCATACTTTCTTTTAAAATTTCCTTTACTTTGGGCTCACAGAAGATCAATAGGGAAGCTGTTTTGGGACAATCTGAAAATCAATGAAGGTATTCTAGAGTTAGAAGAGGAAAACCTGAATTCAGTGAAGTAGACAGGGCACAAGGTGACCTAAAGGAAGCGAAGATGATCAAAAAGGATGTATGGTCAACATCCGAATATGCAAGAGCTGAAGTAAATTAGAACTACTTTAGAACATCTCCTTTCTTCACACCTTCAGCAGGACAACTTTCACTAATCCTCAAAAAGCTAAAATAGATATTATTACTTTGTCTGAATCAGTAGATTTTTGCACAATAGGAATTTTGACCTCATTGCTACACTTACCAGCTCTGTGATGATTATGAAGAAAAGAATTGTGATTTATCTTTGCTTGCCATAAAGAAATGTTTTTAAATATATTTATTTTTACAATCAGAGTTTATGAAACTGTTCTATAACATTATGTAAGTTATTTTGTCTACTCAAAACCACTTACTGTTATCAGTTGTAACTGAATCTGTCTACTTCTACACTGATTAGTTCAGGCCCATATTCCCCACTGAACATAAATAAGCAGTTTACAAAGTAGCTGAAGAATAGAAAACAAATTACTTCATCAGTGCCACCTGGAAATATGCTGGCCATCCCTTATTTCAGAATAAGGTCTAAGGTGTCCCAATTCTTCCTCTTAAACTATTGTGGCATGCTACAAAAATAAATAGAAGTTCCTAAAAAAATCCAATGATATTTTATTTATATTATCCTTTAAGAAAAAATTTTTAAGCATGAATATTTTTTAAAAATTTAAAACTGTTTTTGCTTACAATTTAGACTGTTATCTACATTGACCACAAGATGGGGCTATGATGTCACAATTTGGCAAGATTTAGAAACTATACAAACACAGATTAAAATAATTTACTAAAAGTTTAATAGGAAATACCATATTTTAAATATGCAAATTTTTCAATGAATCAATCTTCTGTTAATGTTTTGCAAAAGAAATATGTGCTTTAATTTGCCCATTTCCCACTTAGAATTTACTGAGCTTTGTTAAATATAAAATTCTGACTAGGTGCAGAATTATGTATTACAGTATTATTCCCTTAAGGATTCTTTCTACCATTTCACATTACCATCCTTAAGGAAAAATTATGGACCTTCAATCAGTATTAAAAATGTCTTTTTAAATTATTTTTGAAAATTATATAAGCACAGAGAAATTCATTACTCATTACAAATCTACATGAAATTTTTTCTCCTTCTCCACTCTTAATTATATTTTTGTAATCAATATTTACTTTGGGGTGGGGATGATTTGAAAAAACAGTATTTGCTTTAAATTATTTATGGCATACATGATCTTTTCTATTTCATCTGTTAAAACTATTTTTTAAGATGATTAGTTATGTTTTGTATTGTGAAATATGCAGAATTTCCTAATTTTCATAAGAGTATAAATATTCAGATTCCTTAGTCATTTTTCAGTAAAGACAAAAAAGCATGCCAAAATAATCAGTTACTTGATTTATCAAAAGACAAATACCATTACTCAGAACTTACTTTTCCAAATGAATGTTTTCTTATCTATTTTAGTATATTAATAATGAAACAAAAATATAAAGTTAATTTTTAAGATAAAAAAATAAGTGACAGGAAGATTTAGGATTTAAAAAGTTTATACATCCCTAGCATGTTTTTTTCCAATTCTTTGAATTCCTTTCATTAGAATAATTTAACTACATAGTTCTTTTAAAGCATGTCTACATGTAGTTTTCTACTTTTTCATTGATTATGTCTTAGTGTATTTATTTTCAAATACAATTCAAAATTCATTGCTTTCTTTAAAGACTTTTATACATTTCCCCTCTCTCTCTCCCCAATGGCTTTCTCTTAATAGTTATTCTAAAAGAAGTCTGTAGCTTGCTATTCTAAAAGACCAGAGATAAACAGTGGTATTTGACAAAGGCTGCTTTCATGAAGTCTTAGACTTTAATTTTCCAAAACAGTCAACATCTAGTCAAAGAGAGGTATTCACTGAGACTGCCCTCAACCATGACTACAAATTTTATCTGGCTTTCCTGCATGTTGAGGAGATCCACTGAATAAACCCCTCCATATTCCAAAGGAATGAGAGGCCCCAAAAGTAGTGTCATACAGAATAGGCTTTAGGGCTTAGCAAACAGGAAAATTAATAAGTGCTTATGGTAGACAGGAAAATAGGAGTAAAGTATATATAAAGAGACTTTGTCATTAAGATGGACCACTTAATTCATATGTTTATTCTTAGAGGTGTATTTGATCTCTTAGGTAAGTACCCAATATAGGTAAATTATTAGTATTTTTCAAATATGAAGCAGAATGGAGAAAGTTAATGTATTGGATTACTACTAAAGTATCCACAATAGGGAAAATCTTCACACTGGTTCCCATGTACATTAAGAATTAGGAAAAAATGCCACCATGATGAGCATTTAAAGCTCTTTATATACATGTGTGTGTGTACACATGTATATATATGTGTGTATATATATATATATATAGCTAATATATGTATGTGTATGCACACATGTACTCACAAACACTAATATATTTCCATTTGTTCAAATTAAGTGATAGGAACTTTTTCCTTTTTCTTCTACTGTTATTTCTTTATATTAAACAATATTCAAATATATTTCCAAATTAAAAGATTTGGGTCCTTCAAGAAATTAAAAATAGCCATAATATGATCTAGCAATTCCACTTCTGGGAATATACCTGATGGAAACAAAATTATTACCTCAAAAAGCTATCTGCACCCCCAAGTTCACTGCAGCTTTACAACAGCCAAAACATAGAAACAACCAAAGTGTCCACTAACAGATGAATGGGTAAAGAAAATGTTTCATATAAATAATGAATTATTACTCAACCATAAAAAAGAAGGAAATACTGACATTCCTGACAACATGGATGAGTCCTGAGGGCATTATACCAAGTGAAGTAAGTCCAACAGAGCTTTAAGACAAATGCTGTGTGGTCTAACTTATATGGGGAATCTAAAAACATAAAGCTCACAGAAACAGAAAACAGATTGGTGGTTACCAGAGCTGAGTATGTTTCAAGCTGCAGTATTATCCATCTATCCAATCCTGTCTGCCTTCTACCTTTCAATTTTTCTGATCTACTTATGGAAGTTTTTCGCACTTTCCCTCACTAATTATGAACTGTTCTTTTTAAAAGTACATTCCATATCATTTCATGAAATCTGGGATAAGAGGGAAAATAGAAAATATGATAAACTGCTTTGATCCAGTTTCTAACAACATGGCATGAGATCAAAATAGTTACTATAGGCCATCACTCATGCGGACCACAGCTGAGAAACAGGATCTTGTAAATGATTTTCCTCTGAAGTGTACTGCAAGGGACATTAAGCTGGTTTGCACTGGTGGAACTCTTGTTTTATAACCAGAGCCTGTTCTGATTGGTTGGCATCCATGACATACTAGTTATTATATATTTGGAATACCATCCCTGAACTATAGTAATACGATTCACAAATAATTACTAAAACGTCTCTTCAACCAAGTTGATAGATAGTAGGAATTTACTTTGAGTAAGTGCTGCCAAGAAGAGAAAAGAGAGAGAATAAGTTCCTTATTCCTTAGGTCTGTCTCCCAGTAATTGTAACATCTGCTCACCACCATATCCAACAGAGGTTGGCCCATAGCAGAGACTTGCAAAACACCACTGAATAAATAAATATATATTGAATAAATGTATGGTCTCTATGTCCTCACTTGTAAAATAAGTTAGATCAAATCCCTAGTCACTTGGAGATTGAAGATACTACAATTCAATTTATGATTCAATAAAAAGACATTTCCTTAAGTTACGATATCAATAAATTTACCAAGCAAAATGAAGAAATCATATATAAAAAATACATCCAAATACTATGTCAGGATACTCTGTCATACATTCTCTTCTAAAGATAAATCACCAGTAATAAAGAGAACAACAGAAACTTATTTTAAATTATTTTATTTTTCATAATTTTCTAACACATGGTGTTAGAAAAATGAATTTTGGCACCATGATGTAGAACTTTCTTTCAAGTTTAACCTTAAATTAAAAATAGTAGCTACAAAGAGGATTTTTAAATCTCACTCAGAGAAATGGTGAAAAATCAAGTCACAAATTTTTTCTGTGTTGGGGAATTTTTAAAAGTGAGACAAAGAGAAGGTAGTAAAAAAGAGTGGGAAGTTGCTGGGAAGACAAAAAAGTGAATAACCCTCCCTAGAAAGAGTAAAGAGGGAGACAAAGGGCAAAAGGGAAGAAGAAAGGCTCACTAATTCTATTTTCCTGACATAAAATTCAAGTACTTAACAAAGTTTTTTAAAAAATAAAAAATTCTACTACTAACTTCAATGAAAGTTTTTTTCCTCATTATTTTCTAAAATTAAAAAACAAAAACAAAAAAATCTGTTTTGACATAAGGACACTTGCTAATCTTAAATCAATATTTAATGTATTTTAAGAAACAGGAAGGCTTGAAAGCTTTCTTAAATCTAGCATCTACTTAGAATAATCCATCTTGGAAAATTCATCTGAAGGAACATATATCTTGATTTCTAATGCAAAATGAAAAAAGACAAAATCTAAAAATCTAAACAAAAATGTTTTCTACCAGACCTGTGTCTCAGTTGTATTTTATATTGTTTCTTGAGGGAAAACATTGTGTGACATTGTTCTTTATGTCCCTTCAGTAATTACTATAAAAGGTACCTGCATAGGTGGTCAGGAAGTACTTAAACAATTAGTTGCATACAAATTCACTTAAAACCCGTTTTCCAACATTTCAAAAATTGCTAATTTTCATTTATATCCATTTTGTCTACATGTTGATAAATAAAATTCTTCCAGGCTTTTAATAAGAAAACATTATTTGTCTCACTTGTCACTTGTATATTGGTATTATCTGAATATTTCATCCACTGAAACACAAATTCAGAAAATTATCATTGTTCTCAGAGAGAATAAGGCATAGAAATAAATACTTCCATTTACTTTTTTTCTTTCTTTTCTTCTTCAATCTGTGTTTTAAGGCTCAGAGCAGACAATAAGAAATATCAAACGATTTTTTTATGAGTTTTTCAAATGTTTGGCCCAAAGTGAAGTTGTTCTGTTGAAGTTATTTAAATATTCCTCTCATCTTCTCAAGCACAACTTCAAAGACATGTTCATGCCAGTCATCCATTCCAAAAGAAAATTCAATTCAATGAAAAGTAAATAACTTAGGGATCTATAAATGACACTGCAATGTATCTTGTTCCATTTTTAACAGGAAGTCCTTCATGCAAATGCGTGAGTCTCCCAGGATGCATGAAGCTCCAGCCTTTTCTTGGTGATTCAATGGAGCAATTGTACCTTAGAAATTTGCATCCACCTCCCTAAAAGAAATGGCACAAATAAACGTATCAGCTTATTATATTTAATTTTTTATCAATGGTAAAATTCTTATTATGCCATCTAAGCACAATCTAAAATAAAAAAAATAAGGCAAAGTCCTTTTCAAAGTGATGTATTTCTTTTGAAAAATGAAAAAGATAAAAGCCATAATTACCTGAAAATCTTCTCCCACATTATTGAGTGCAATGTTGATGGTAAATGTAGATGCATCGTGATGAGGGCGAAGAGAACGCTGTCTTTCAGGGGAGTATTTTACCACAAAATTCAATAGAGCAAACCCCTAAAAAAAGCAAAGTAAACCAATGGATTTGCTTATCAATAAAAATATAAAATAGGCCATTTGTGTAAAAACTGGTAGGAAATAGGATGAATGGCAGCATAACTACCTTTGTATAATAGCCTGCAAAGACCTTCAGTGTGACTGGTGCAATAAACTCCCGGATAAAATGAAGCCATACATTCTCCAGGTCAATTTGTTTCATGTGGATATCATCAGTTGGGACATTTTCATAACCACCAGATATACGGCTATCCTAGAAAGAGCATAAATGACATCATAAAGTGTGTTCTGCATGCAATTCATATGTATATTATCTTGCATTTTCTTTCAACCACAAGATCATAAAAGACAATAAAAATAACAATTGTTCAATTATGGTGTACCATCAGCTTTAACTGCAAAATTATCAAAGTAACTTAGAGAACGTGGCTGTGCAAACGTATCAATGATGACGTGAAGTATTGCAGAGTCACTAGACTACTTTCCCACTTACTTAATGTGAGGTCTAACTATATAGTAAATAAAACTGACTTCCAAAGCCCTCTAATTCTCCCTAAAAAATGAGTTTTTTTCACAGCAAACCTGGGCATAGATTCCACTTACATGCCCATCACTGAAAACAAACTTTTCTTGCTATTTTTCCCACTTCTATTTTGTGGTGCCCTTCCATGACTGCTTTTCATTATCCTTCAACCTGCTGACTTCATGTTCTTCCTCATACTTTGACCTTCTGTCTCCCTGATCAGCTAACTAGCTCGGGTAAACCTGTAATTGAGAAGAATAGCAATATTCCAGAGTATGCCACTAAAATCCCTGGGTATTATTAAGGAGCTGGCATCTGTGAATTCTCAAAGGAAAAGAAATGCATTGAACCATCAACAGTAATACTTCTGACAAGTCTTGGACACTGAATGTAAATGTAAAACTGAATTATACCAAAGACATTCAAATAGATTCCTCTTTCCTATGTTTACACCAAAGACATTCAAAGAGATTCCTTTTCCTATGTTTACACCACACAAAAAAATTGCTTTGGCAGTCAACCAGATAAATTTTGTCTTGGTATTTTTACTATAGCTCACTATTTTTTTGAAATTGCAGAGAATAAAAAGTATCTTTGGAGAAGAGCAATATCACACAATAGACATATATTACTGTTAACATCACCAGCCTGGGGGCAATGACCCTTAGTAGGGACCATTTATGCATAATTATATGCATAAATGAGAAACTGAGGCCCAGACTGATTAAATGTTAAACAATTAAAGAGAGACACAGTTAGGCAGAGTTCTCCTCACAGCCTTAGCAAGCCCCTTCATTTAGGTGCCAGACTCTTTAGATGTATGACAAAAAGGACAAATCCCCTCTGAATTCTCTAAGTATCTACCCCTCATCCCACCCCAGACATACTTTAGTTCTTTAGTTCTTTGTATGAATTTTTAACTTACATGATGTTTTCCCCCAGACCACTGGCCATAATGCTCCATTTCTTCCACCAGTTCATCACAGGCTTTTTCAGAAAATATGGGAAACCAAAAGACATCTGGACAAGGCTATAAAACATGGCAACACCATTTAAAAAGAACATTTTATGTCATTTAAATAATAAAGGATATTTTAAACCTAATAGGAGAGAATAGTCAATATTCATCTCACTTAGATGTCTTTTTAAGAAGCTTGCCCAACATTACTGACATTACAGTTACAAACAGTAGTGGGGTTTTTTTTTAATGCTTTCTAAGAGTTATTTTTTCTCATTTTGCCATCTGTGAAATTAACATGTATCTTAGCGTCACGGTTGGCCAGTAAGCCACTGTGATGTAGTTGTAATGCCACAGTGCATGTACATTTAGTCAGACTTTCACTCTGTCCCCATCCTGTGTATATCTGTGTGTGTGCACTTGTTGAGTTGACTTGACTTTGAAAAATTTTTTAAATGATTTACAGTATGATTTGCCAGTTTGAAATGAAAAGTTAGTATGTGTACAGTGCCCTATAAAATATGATAACACCTATGGCTTAATAAGTCTAAAACAGCTCTTTCAATATACATATAAAGCAAAAAATTCTAAATGACTAGAAATCATTGTGTCATTGTTTAACTAGAAGTATTTTTTCTTTCTCAAAGAATACAAAATGACTATCTCAGAATCAAAGATGGTTTATGTTCTCTGCAATAAGGTATTAGCAATAGTTTAAAACATTCACCTAGAATAGAGTTCATTTTTCAAAAGACCTCTCTGAGAAGAGGCTGTTGGAGCCTAGTTTCTTTCAAAGATAAGCTTTCACTGAAGAAAACCTATACCAGAGGTCTGCCAAAGGTTCCTTTCTTTCGTGGTTTGAGATAACTATGACATCTGAGAGTATACTAAAAAAAAGGCATAACCTAAAATTATTGTTAATCTCCACATTCTACGTTTTTACAATGCTTAAGGCTGTAAAATAGGTAACTAAGACATGAATTCTATGTAAAAGGTAGTTTTGTAACATTTTGCAACATTCTCTGCTGAAACAGTAGTTCATTAATAATATCCTCTTCTAGAAAATACAGCATGATGCTCCCCACAACATAGTAATTATTAATACAAACCTGTTCAACTATATTTTCAGTGAAAATCTTTGAATAATCACGGTTTATATATTTTTCCTTCCAGTCCTACCAAAAAAAAAAAAAAACAATCAATGCACAGGTTAAAACAAATACCACTTCATAAATATTTTAACAGAAAATATGAAGTACTTGCATTTTAGAAACTGCTCAATTTATAAATGACTATGTGTAGTAGACAAAACAGGAATTTTCAGAAACCACGGTTTACATTTTAAAAATTTTGCTTGATTCTTTGTATGCTCACATCATTCTATGAAGTTTTAATTTATGAAGTTTTATATCCTCAGGATTTTATACTTTCAGATTAGGTAATCTTAAAATGATTAGATTTCTATGCTATATTCTATACATATACATAGCGGTAGGAAAATTCATGTGTGTTTAAAAGTAAAAGATAAGGACCAAAATCCTACCTACAAATATTTGTAAAAGTTAGCTAGTTAATCAACTAGTGTCCTACTTATACTTTTATAGTGAATTGCTCTAAAATAATTTTGATTGTTTAAAATGTATTTAAGATTTCTGTCTTCATTTTAGTTTTTAATATATATCAAAGAATGATCAGGGGTTACTAACATTTTCACTTCTTTTAGTTCCTGAAATTAAGGTATAGGATCATACATTGAAGAACAGCTCCTCTTCATGTTAATTCATGAACCTGATTCTTACCTTTGACCAATCTCTGACACATGAACCACACACTAAGATACCCTAATTTTTGTCAACATCAACTAAGGAATCTTTTTCCTGGTCAAGTGCTTTATTTAAAAACCCAATATTTAGAGAGCATATAAAATATGGAATAATTTAGTATCCAAAAAAATCTGTTCTTAAATGTATTTAGACAATTTAACAAAATGCTTTATTTTCTCAGCAAGGAAGGACTGAAGCACAGATGTAAAATAACTCCAATCAAAATATGTTTAAAAAAAATTGATCTAAAATATATCTTTAGAGACCAGATTTCAGAGAGGCCCTGATAATTTATGTACCATTCTTAGTTTTGCATATTTCTGCTTACATGTAGCTCAGACATTTTTTATATGGAAGAATAAAACTTATCTTCAAATTTAATAAATTTCATTTTTACATAGTATATCAAATTTATTATATTATCTCATTGTTCCCTTTAATATTGACTGTTTCTCTGATTCCAAATTATGGAAAAAATTACAAGTAAATAATCATCCATAACATTTCAGAATCTTCAAGTTTTTCCTGGTATCATTATTGATCTTTTGAAGTTGAAGAAAAAAATCCTCTAAGATTTTACATTAAGGCATTAATATTAGCTTTTCATTTTAGACTACCATTCAAATATCATTGAACAAACTGGGACTTCACTAATTTCTTAGATGTTCTGATAATGGGACAATCATTCAATATTTTGCTATGGGGTATCACTCCAAGAGGTATATTGTTCAGGCTAATTTACTAAAAACAAAGTAAAGCCATGGAAAGAAAAGCAGTTCCCACTTATTTCTGATGTTTTTTTTTCATTGCATACTCGCCGAAGTTTTGAATTCTTACACAAATGTCCACAATCAGGATGTAACTGGGACATTTTTTCAGGAAACTAATATGACGCAGGATGTCAAATAATTTTATCCCTCAAAATAGAAGAGATTCAGTGTCAAAGTAAAATGTGTAATTCCAACCTCACCATTTAAAAAAAGCCTTTCCAATTCTCCTGTGAAAGATGAAGATATGCAGCTAAAATGGAACAGAAGTGCTCTCAACATTTAAAACAATGTCAAAAGATATTTTTTTCCTATTTAACAGTGTATTCTTGACCATTAAATTTACTATTCCCAGATGTTCAACTACTCCTACAGATAAAAGATAAGGTGGACTGAAAACTTTTATTACTAGCAAGGGGAAAACCACAAATAACAGTATTACAAAGATGATTATTCAAGATTACTTTCCCTTGAATAACCATGTCACCATGACTAAAGAAAACAGGCCCAAGTAAGACAAAAAAGGAGTTAATTCTTGTATGTTTCAAATCTTTAAGAAATAATTTTAGACTTTAAAAGGAAATTGCTGCCTCAATCTTAAGACTTTATATGCTGAACCTGCTTAGTTTGCAATTCTATCTATGGTGTACATTCACAAAATTGTTATCAAAAATAAAATACCTTCCCATTTCTTAAATTTCCTTCTTGAAAATCAAAATGTAATACTGTCATATGTGAACTACTTGTAAACATTTTTTTCTGAAATTGTGACTAAAAATTTGATGGTGCTTTCAAATATATAAAACAGAAAAATATAGGGAGAAATCAAGGAAACAGATAATTCCATTCCCCAAACATAATGTATGTCTTAATTTAAAAAAAAAGGTTCTTGGTCAAAAGCCATAATTAATTACATCTTTTTAAAAAATTAAAGAATTTTTTAAAAATTTAAAGCCTCTCACTACATTTTCATATTACTTAGAGTTCTAAGAAAATAAGGACCAAATGAAGTTGAGTATGAAATACATACCACAGGATTTTCAAAAATCTGCCAGAGGTCATTGTTATAATGAGAAGTATTATAATTAGCAGTTGATAATAGTCTTCCAAATTCATGTCTATTAGAAATGTACATAAACACATCCTATATGCCAAAAAATAATAGTATTAATAGTCTCAGAGGAAAGTACAATAAAATAAATTCAACCACAGGAAAAATATGTGATATTAATTTCAACTTTTATATTTCACTTATGAACATAAATGTGCGTCTTTTATTTTTCATATAAAATATGCATGATTTAAAATAAAAGAAATAAAATTTTGATTCATTATGAATTCAGACACCACACAAAACTAATTGATAGCACTGACACTCAACTGAAAAAAAGAAGAGGAAGAACGACTGTTTTAACCCTTTCACATTGATCCTAGATGAAGACATTGGGGGAAAAAATTCCTGTTTGAAAGTAGAAATATTTTTGAGACACCAAAGTGCAACGAATTGTACCTCTTTTGGCTTCTTTCCCTTTCAAAGAAGACAGCACACTTCTAAGCATGAATTAAAACGTTAATATTATTTCACCAGTCTTCATTTTTTTATTGTTTTGATGTTTAAAAACCAAAACTATTCAAGCAGCTAAGGAAAATCAGTCTCAAGTCCTTGACCCAAACCAAATAAATGTGGCAAACACCACTAAGGTAAACTTGTTTCTTTTTGTACCTGTTTTAATAGTAAATGGGTTAGTTTTAACAAAAAGAAAATTAATGAATACCCAAATCTCACTTTAATCAAGGTACATTTTATACTTACTCCTATCTCTTCTCTCCCTTAAAAAAAACAAAAACTAAAAAAACTAGTGAAAAGAATTTGGGTTTTAATTTTTAACTGTCAACCATAAATTGTAAATCAGCCCAAAGAACTAACAGCTGAATATCACACAATGCCCACTCCCAACACACAAAATTTACACATATACAAATTAAGAACCAATGAATACCCACATCTTACCAAGTTAAATGGAAAGAAGAGTCTCAGAGAAACTTTACTGCTAAGCAACATACCATATCTAGTATTAATTAAATAAAATTTTTATAAAATAAATAAAAGTAACACCTACCATATCTAGTATTAATTAAATAAACTTTTTATAAAATAAATAAAAGTAACACCTTTGGGGGGCTGAGCATTTGAATTGTTTCCGGAGTAGGGGAGTCTTTTTCCCTTTGTAAAGTCTAAAATGAAGAGAAGCATTGGGTAAGTTGACCTGCACACCCACTCTCTGATTGTTAGGTAAATAAAAACAGCAGCCCTTGATCAAAAGCTGACATTTGGTAATGTCTTTCGTAGAAAACATGCAGAACAAGCAAAGCTTAGAGCACACACAAAGAAACAACTCCAGCCCTTTCTTTTCTTGTTTTTGAGTCAAACATAAATCCAAGCTCATTCCTTAGTAGAACTTTCATTAGACACAAAATTAAGACAAAGGAAAAAATATGTGAGAGGCCATTCCAGGATGCGCTGTTGAGTCAAATTAGCAGAACATGAGCACAAATGACAACCACAAGTACTGAAGATGTTCCATATAACAATGCACATAGGTTTGTAGGAAAAACAAATATAGTCCAACAACACATGCCTTATTAAAGTAGAAAAAAATACTTGCCAACTTTTCTGATTTTTTCCCAATGGATAGCAATGTATAATTAATTTTTCACATATATTAAATATACTAAATATATCAATCCTTCTCCCAGTTCAATGATAAGAAACCTGCTTTTTAAGAGTGTGGAGTTATTAATGATAGAGAAAATATAGACACTGATTTTAAAAAGAAAGTGTGTTCTTAAATGTGTACACATGATCATTTCACTAAGACTTTATCTGATTGATTTTAATAAGGTCAGGTTTTGCTACAGAATTTCAAATGGAAGTAAAAATGAATTATTAAAAATGCAGCACTGATTTATGACACATTCATGATTACTACTGAAATCCTACTGTTGCTTATGAGTAAGCCTAAGCACCAAACCTAACATTTTTAAAATTGTTTTTACAGGTACATGTTCACAAATTAATCTCTATAATTGTTCCCTATTTTTCAATACAGAACCAAAAAAATTGGCTAGTACTTACAAAATAGAAAGAAAAGGGGCATCGAAACACAATGACCCATCAACTAGTTAAGCAAGCCATTTTATAAGAACATTCAAGCAAGCCATCATTGTATACCCTACCATTTCTCTAGCATTTCGGCAAAGAGCCATATCAGGATCCAATTTATCACGAACAAAATAGTTCCTTTCATTCATCTCTGATCGGAGTGTCTTTCCTTTAATTAAGTACACATTAGCCATGTATGGGACATTCCATATACCTCTGAAAGTAAAGATAAAACATTCCAAGATACCACAAATAGAAAATATTTTAAGATTTATTTTTGTTTTTAAAATAAATGCCTTATATGTTTTAAATTTTGTACATGTAAATTATTGAATCAAATTACATACAAATGAAAACACATTTAATGATATTTGATATATATACACACATATACATGAGATATATACATATACATATATATACATACTGACTATCTTTGGTGTACATTCAGAAAATAGTTATCAAAAATAAAATGTACCTTCCCATTTTACTTGGTATACACTACATTTTTCTAAGATAAATCATTATCTCCCTATGTAAACTTCATTTTAAGGTTATATCTATTTGGCATATTGGCTGTCATCCCTCACTTTGTTCTTACAGTTAGAGCATAATATTCTGTAGTACAAAAAGTGTTTCCATTTAATATTAGGCATTTTGAAAGCAAAAATAATCACATCAACTGGTGGTGTACTAAAGTCAGCTCACACTGGCTCTGCAAAGCATGTGGCTTCACTTCCCGAGCCTACACTCAGTGACTTCACATCGGCAGCCTGAAATTGGACATGATAGCACCCATTTACAGAACCCAACTATAAGCTGCAGTTGTCAGACAATTACTAGCACACCACTGAAGACAGCCTAAAATTCTCCAAAAATACATTCTCTTGAAATTTGTTAAGCCATCTCAAATTTCTGTAGAAAAAGGAAGATATGAAGAAATAGAGCCAGAAGTATGTGCATACTGGAAACACTTTATTTTGTCCTTCACTCTTTCCCACACTTGTCTCCTCACTCTAAATATGACTCATTTTTTAAGAACAGTGTAAGAAAGGTTTCAGCTGAAAGAAAATGCCTGTTGCTTTCAGCGAACAGAAAGGGAAGATCGTGACCAAGGAAGTGTAGTTAGACATTAAAAAGAATATGATATCATTTGTTCTTTATTAGATGAGTCTCGAAGGGAATGGCCACACAAAATACTCAGTGTGGCTGCTGAATTCAGAAATTAATCACTGGCAGAGTGTGCAGTGTCTCAGTTTTGAAGGAAAATAACACACACACACGTACACATACATGTCATAAGATGTCATTCCTTCATGTAGCTTTTGAACATCAAATGCATTCTTGTATTACTAGATCAAAAGCCTCTCCCATACTCTTTTCCTTGCATATTAGATAATGATAGGAGGCTGTAAAGAAAATCACCAGTGCCTAAAGCAAGTTAAATGGAACATATTCTCTATTCTATTTCTGTGAATTCTATTTCTGCTGTACCCACAGACATATCAGGCATATATACATCATCCCAGAAACAATAGAAGTACTTTGAAATAATGGAATATCTTAATAGTATTTTCTCAACTATCATGCTTCTTAATTGTGGCTAATAAAAGCCAGTATCACATTTACATCATTCAAATTTACTATTTTCATAAGCAAAACATCTTTTTACCACTCAACTATTCCAAAAGAAGTATGTGACTTTTTTCTAAATTTAAGGTCACATTATCTTTTAGTCATGAGAGAATGCTTTCCTTTTTTAGTTGGGCTGATATATTTGAGAAGTTAGGCAAAGCATATAACATTTCAGTCACTCTGGCCCACTGTCTGTATGAGAAAAAAGAATGACATTCTTCCTTAATCCTATCTTAAGGTAAAGAAAACAGTATTTCAATTATGATTATTTTGATTATTTTTTAGTTTAAAAAATATCAACTGTTGCCCCTGAAATAAATATCAATCATGCATACACTTTTTAGTGAGCATATTCTTTCCAAACTTTAGAAATGGAAATCAGACACTGGTGAAGAAACTGATCCTTAAATCTGAATATTATCTATTTCAACAAAAACTCTTGTAACAGGAAATGTTGAAAGGTTTTTGCTGTTGCTATTGTTCTTCTTTGCTTGTTTATAAATGTTAAAAACTATCTAAACAACCTTTATCCGGGCCACTATATAAATTAGGTAAGCTAAATTCCTTTTCCAAACTTTTAACGGAAGAATACTACTCTTGTAACAATCAAAAGATGGCTACCACTGGTAACCATATATTGTTTCTCAGTATTAGTCACAACAGTGAGTTTGTTCTCATAAAAATTTAGAACCTTAAAAACCATTTTCTGATACTAGTTTTACATGAGTATTTCAGGATCCCAAGTGGTTTAAAAATTTTCAATTTTTCATTGAACATAAAGAGGAAGTAATTTAAAAAATTCAAGTCATATTAACAAGACCACATTTTTAGTTTATGGCATATTACATTATGGTATTCTATAATTAAGTCAAGTAACTTACACTCTATTCCCTTGAACAATATCCACATAATCTTCAGATCGAGCATAGTATCCATCAGGACTCAATGAACCCCAGAAATTGGACCACAGTTTTCCATGACGAGTTACAAGAGGAGCAATAATATTTCTGGAGAGAAAAAAAAAATTCAGACAATTATTTATTTTTAAGTCATCTCATAATTATGTGCTTTGGGCTTGACATGTCACATAAAACAATAAATTTCATTTAATACACAAGTGGTTGGTCCAAAAAACTAAAAGTCAAATAAAAAGGGAATTTCTTCCCAATGCTTTTTCTTAGCTACACTGCTGATTTTTTAATGATATGCCTTAAAGAATAAGAGGAAAAAGCAATTGAAAATGTTATTTAAACTATAAAAATGACTTTTAAGGTACTTATTTATATCTAAAAAAAAGAAACTATCTTAATAACTTAATCATTTGAAGTATTTTAAAAACTATAGTAAATCAAGTCAAATATTTTCATTTTCACTGGAAAGACACAATACTCCCTGATGTATTAAGGCATCTAATAAATATTTGCTGAATTTTTAAAAATGAGTGAAGATGGACTGCAATATTTGTAAATAGGCCAGTTTTCCTAAAGTTAAGTCCTCAGTTACTTTAAAGGATGTCTTTGGTGTCGTTTTGTTTTTGTTTTTGTTTTTTTTACAACTTTTAAAATGGGTTGTGCCCGCTCTGGCAACACTGAACATCTTTCTGGTCCTTCTCCTATTTTAGAACACTCAATAGAGTGTAACTGCCTTGGCACTCTGTCTTAGGACCTACCAGGAAAGTAGTCCCTTTGAGACGAGCATGTTACGAATTCAAAGCATTTCAGATTTCTTCTTAGGGAGGTCTAACTTATAATGTGTTTCCAAATTAAGTAACAAAATCTGAGATTCCTCTGGAGTTCCTTTTAAAATGAAGTGAACTCTAGTGGTATCAAACAATTTTTAAGAAAAGCTACCACAACTCTTCCAAAAGGAAGTTTATGGACCCACTACTCTCTACGAAAAACCCTATTTCACAGCATTCCAATCTTGTGAGGATCAGAAGTACTCTTTCTCTTACCTATAAAAAGTAAAACACAGTCTGTAAATACACATCGTACAAATAATGATTTTGATTCATTTTTCCTGGTTACCCAGACTTACATTGTTTTGTTTAGATTACCTACAATACTAGAAAGGATAACAAATTATAATCTATATATTATGTTAATTTAAACAATGATAATTCAATGATATTAACTGACAAGGTCAAGTACTTAATAGGAAAAAAATTTATAATTTAGAAACCCAGCTGCCTCCCCAAGAGGGTTGGGTAAAGAAATGTTGAAACCAAAATTTGTCTGCTGTGTGCCTCAGTGTTGTTGAGCATGGAAATAGAGTAGTCCTCCCTTATCTGCGGGCTTCACTTTCCACAGCTTGTAACCTGTGGTCGGCCGCAGTCTGGAAGCAGATGGTCCTCCTTCTGAGGTATCATCAGGAGGCAAACAGTAAACTAATACTATGTCACATGCCCGAACCATTCACCTGATTTCACTACATCAAGTAGGCATTTTATAATCTCCCACCATCGCAAGAACAGTAAGAGTATAGTAAATAAGATTTTAAGAGAAAGAGACCCCATTCATATGATTTCTACTACAGTATATTATATACCTGTCCTATTTCATTATTTATTGTTGTTAATCTCTTACTGTGCTTCATTTATAAATTAAACTTTATAATAGGTATATGTATGTATAGGAAGAAACAGTATATACAGGGCTCAGTGCCATCTTCAGTTTCAGGCACCCAGTGGGAGTCCTGACATATATGCCCCACAGATATGGAGGGACTACTGAATGAGGACAGCAGCTGGGCGATAATGAATTGCACTACCTAACTGAAGGAGTAAAACTGGTGCAAGGCAATAAATAGCAGAAATAGGAAGAGGAAGGGGAAAAGAGAGCTGATGAGATGTTAGGAAACTACATGCCCTAAGATGTGACCCATTCCCTACCCCTCTAACCTTCAGTCAAGGCTACTAAACCTCATAACATTCTTGGTGTATGTAAATTATTTATGGAAACTACATGCTTGGATACAGAAGCAAGAACCACAGGTATCATATGAATCTAAAGCTTTGATAATTAATAGAAATATATGGAATTGGAGAAATAACCTGAGTTTTATTATTTCTTCAAGAGGCAAGGGCCCTAGATGTCAGCTGAGTTACTTATGAGGGAAATTTTATTTACAAGGTTTAAAACATTAGATTGGTATTAAGGGGGATGTATGCTAAATACATAATACAAATTCATTAAATAGTTCACTACCAGAATAACTAAATACCTACCAAAGTGTCATATACTAAAAACATATAAAGATTATTAAAAGTGTATGCACATTATACAATATTGAATTTCAATCAAATTAAGAGGAAATTAACACTTTAAATTGAAGAAAATATTACTGAACTCCACAGGTTTTAAGAGTTACAAATTACAACTCCATCCCCTATCTCTAGGGTAACCTGCTCTCCTTTTCAATGATCAAAGCTTATTCACATGTTGTGAAAATTACCTACAATTTGCAGATAGTTATCTTAGATAAATATCTATTGATAGTTATATAATGGGACTGTTTATTAGTACTGAGAGTTCTTAGATTTTGAAGTAGTAACTGAATTATCAAATTGACAAATTATTATTATATATATAAGGTCAGTTACTATAGTGTAATAGATTTCTCATATAGTTTACTCAGCAAAATAAAAACAGTAATTCTAACATTTCACTGTTATTCTATTTGTAAACAATTGTGTTAATATATTTAAACATACTTAGAACAATACCTGGCACTTACAAAGCACCATTAAATAAAGGTGGGCTATCAGTAATACTATTAGTAATATTATTATTAGTAGTAGCAGTAGTATTAATAAATGAAGGTTAATATCATTATAAGCTGGGACACCTGGTATCTTTTTACCACTTCAATTTAATTAAATAAAAACAAGTGCTGCCTAGTGATAATTAAAGCTCGATACTAAGTAAATCATAGATATGGCTGTGTAATAACTTGTACCTCTGAGATTACTTTCAGTTTTTAAGAACTTACAACTCTGTTTGCAATAACTTCTTAGGTCAGAAGTTTCATGAAGCTCTACTTTTAAAAAAACTAGAGAATAAAACACTTCCAAATTTTATAGATACATCATAATGTCATCTAGCTTTAAACATAAAAATAAGCCAAATATAATTGATTAAACATTGCATTTGTGATGATAACTAATATTAAATGCTTTAATTTTCATCAGGTTGTTTTCTAGGTGATGCTTTCAAAAGAAAACTAATGAGAATTAAAATTTATAAGATGTAGAAAATAAGTTCATGTGAGTTCCCTTAATTCACTAAATACAGATAAGTAATTAGTGCATCCCCAGACACAGAAAACGATCACCATATCAAAAATACTTTGACACTGAATCTTATATAGTACCTGTTTTGTTCAATCAAAATTTTTAAAGTCTTTGGATTTGTCAAAACAACATCGGCATCCACACTAAAGTAATAATCACAGTTTTCATCCTGGCGGCAAAAATCCCTGACATTGAAAAAGAAATGAAATAAGAATTACATAAAGTAAATATTTGCTGGCTGAAAGTGTTAACATAAAGTTTATGTGTAAAACAAGTTTTCTCTAACATATCTGCTACAAGTAGTAATATCCAAAAGAATAAATGTTATCTAAAATTTCCAGTCAACTTATCCACAGATGTTCATAATTAGATCAACACTAGAATTAGTTTTAGGTCAAGTGAAATATATTTTCAAGCCACTAAATACTTTAAGACATCAAACATCTAGTCGGAATGACAATTTATAATTTAGTATTTAATTCTCTCTGAAAGGGAACACAATTTACTGCAATTTGTTTATCAACTTTTTTCACAAATCAAAATGTTTTTTGCACACACACACAATGCAAAATCTTGTACATCCAACATCTTAGTTTTAAGTGACTCATGGATTTGGAAGTGCATAACTCTTTAGGTGTTGAGCTTTTTAAGCTTGATTTGCTTGGAGTTCTTTCTAAGACATTTACTCTCCCTTTTTTTATCAGGGGACACTGACTATGATGTATGTTTCCCTTCATGGACTTTGTAGCACTATCATCAGGAACACCAAGGGATGCACCATTTGTAATAGCTTCCAAGTATTATGGTTTCTGCATTTAGGGTTCTCTCTCTCTCTGAGCTTTCCTCTGATTCTAGTTACCACTTTCTGCTAATGTCAGTATATGTCTCTATATGTCTCCATACCACATCTGTTTCTAAGCAACTGTCAAATAGAAGTCCAGACAGGAAATTTTGTTAAAACTGCACACAAAAAAATACAGAAAATTTTAAAATCATTTTTGTAACTATGTATAGTGACAGACAGTAACTATACTAGGCTTATTTTGGTCGTTCTGCAATGTATACAAATATCAAATGATTATGCTGTACACCTAAAACTAATATAAGGTTATATGTCAGTTATACCTCAATATAAATAAATAAAATAGCCAAAATTATCTTGGAAAAATTTGAAGGATTTACACTACCTGATTTTTAAGATTAATATAATTCCCTAATAATAAAGTATGGCATTGATCTAAGATAAAGGAATCAGTAAAGAGTTTACAATCACTCATAAATATTCAGCCAACTGATTTTTGACCAATGCCAAGTCAATTACATAGGAAAAGAAAAGCATTAAATAAAAAGTGTTGAAATAACTGAAACTCCATTTGTAAAGAACAAAATATGACCTCTACTTCATTCCAAACACAAAAATGTATTCATGATAAATTACAGATTGAAACATCACAAACATAAATTACCATAACGCTTTTATAAGAAAAATTCCAAAGAATGAAAAAAATATTTTCATGATATTGGAATAAGAATGAATTCTTAAACAGAAAATAAACCCCAAAAGTACAAAGCATAAAAAAAAGAGAAATAAAGTTCTATTAAAATTAAAATTCCTTCTCAACAGAACACAATATTCAAAAAGTAAAAAAGAAAGCCACAGAATGAAGCAAATATTCACAAAACATTACATATACACCTTGTACACAGAAAACACAAAGAACTACAAATCAACAATAACAAAAAAGACAACCCAATGTAAATAAAAATGCACAAAAAATTTGGGTACTTCACAAATGAAGATATACAAATGGCCAATTAATACATGCACAGAGAGTTAATCATCAAGAAATGAGATTACAACCACAGTAAGACACTTCCATACCCAGTAGGGAGGCTAAAATAAAAAAGATGGGCAATATCAAACGGTGGCAGACATATAGAACAGCTGGAGTTCTACTTACAACCTTGCTGCTAGGAGGGTAAAATGGTGCAGTGGGTTTGGAGGACTATGTAGCAGTGCTTTATAAAATTAAATACACATCTACTTTAACCTTGTGCCTTTGTTAGTCCAATCCTTGGTATTTTCCCAAAATGTACTAAAGCATATGTACATACACACATAAACTTGTAATAAAGAATCTTCATCAGCAGTCTTATTTATAATGGCCCCAAACTGGACATAACCCAATGTACATCGACAGAGGAGTATATAAACCACTTGTGGTGTATTCAGATGATAGAGTACTAGTCAGTGATGAAAAGGAATGAACTGCTGATAACTGCAATGACATGCATAAATTAGAAAACAATGTATTGAGCCAAGGAAGCCAGACACAACAGAGCACATTAAACTGAATGTGGACCCAAGGTATTCTCCAATGAATAAGCAATGGAATCATTAGTAATAACATCTGTTTGGTGTTTCTGAGGTCTGTTTACCCTGCTTAGCCCTTTACCCCAACACCGGGCACTATCCATGAGTCTTGGCTCTGAACTTCCACAGCACAAGAACAGAACATTTCCTAATGAGAAGTCGCCATGACTTATACACCTTTTTACCAACAATTCTTAATCCACTCTCTGGCATATTCAATTAGCATTCATTGAATAAACGATTGATTTTAATTATTACCAAAATTTTATTAGTAATCTATCAGAAGTATTAAGAGAGCTAAACAAAGGACCTAAAATATTTCTTCTGAAGGTTACAGTAATATCTAGATCAGTAGGTAACTAGAAAGTGGGAATACCTTTTTTCTCCCACAGTCTGAAACACACTTAACCTTCAGGTAATAGACATTTAAATCACTGCTTCATCAGACATACCATTCGAGTATTTTTTAAACACCTTGATCTGAAGTTCAATTAAGAGTTTATTTAAATAAGCTGAGTCTTAGCTACTCAAAGAAAAATGGAAACAACTTCCATGGCCCTTTACATGTACACACTTACAAACACAGATATAGTCTTACCAGTAGAGGCATTTTTGCACACATGCACACACACAGTCGCACAAACACAGTTGAGACATCCAAGTTGAGGGTATTAATTTTGAAGTAAAGTTTTTGTTTCTTTTTAATGTTTCTTTCAGTAAAAAATGTTTAAATTTATTAAAACATACATTCCCATGTTTCTGGCTTCGGCTTGACTTATATTTTCTTCTGGTCCTACTATTTTTATAGTACTGATTTCATGTTTAGCTTTATCAAAAAATGCCTTGATATTCTTTTCATGATAAACTTCCTGTAACATATTTAAAAAATCAAAAATTAGTGAGAATATAAGACAGTAAAGATGACTGAAGTATTGATATGTGGCAATGGCTTCACATTCAAAGTTATGTATTGTGTATTCCATAATTCACATAATCACTCAATTACAGACAAAATAACCAATACTAAGTATATTATATTTAAACATTACCTAAATGTCACAGGAAGAATCAAAAAAGATTAACATCAATATTTTTTAAACAGAAAACACTTCAAATTTCTTTCAACATCTATTCTCAGACAGGGTTCTTGCATACATATTTAAATCCTGGGTGCTATGATTCTAACTCAAGAGCAAAAAATGGTTTATGAACTGAAAATCTTAGACATGTGTTATAAAATATCCATTAAAAATGTCTATTAACCCTAAAATATATTGATTTAATTTGTAAATGTAAATATGCATTATAAAATAAATATTAAAATATTCTTTGAAATCAGAGAGAAAAATTAACGGTCACATATAAAAGTGTGTTTTTATGAAAAGAGGGCAAAGTTTCCCAAAAATTTGTTGATAAGGAAATATAATAGGAAAACCATCAACATAAAAGTCATCAAGTTGGTATGATTCAATTATGCTAAAATTTAGGTGAGGTTATCTGTTTTCATCATTAGAGCATGTCAGGGCTTTTCATGTATCAAGTCTCCCTGAGTATTTTTGAAAGCTTTTCATAGAGTGCTAGAACTACTTATATAAAAGCTGCATAGAGTTCATGGTAGATAAGAGAAGATAAAAACTCCCACCATCCAGGGGTTTTAGGTCCCATGAAAGGAGGAAAAATATAAACAGGAGACACAATACATGAAAACAAGACCATTTAAACTAAGTTTGTATATTACAACACATTTTACAAAACAAATACTC